CGTAGTAGGCAAATGATTTTCAACAGCAAGTACCGCCATTGTCTTACCTGTCTTCTTCAAAAAGGATTTCAGAAGTTTCTTTGTTGACTTCTTTTCCTCTTTGTTGTCATGCATCTGAGTTTAAAGAAAGTACTATCAGTTGGAATAACGATGACAGAGACTAAGAACAGGGTCCGTGCAGAGTATCAAAAACGAAATTTAAGGACTTTACAAGGACTTTTTCCAGGACCAAAATTGTATTTTCAAGGAGCATCAAAATCATGCTAATTGTACATTCTTGCCTCAAAACTTCAGCCGAACGGAATAATTCAGAGGTYGATAGCGTTCGTTATAGAGATCCATCTTTTTCAAGGACTTTTCAAKGRTTTTTTCGAAATTTTCAAATTTTCAAGGAGTTYCAAGTGYCCTTGAAAACGAGTTTTCAATTCAAGCACTTTTCAAGGAWTTAAGGACCTGCACRGACCCTGTAAGAATGAATTGTTTTCTACCACWAGAATTTAACACYTTAACAAACTCGTACCTCATTGAAATTTCCAATCCATATAGAGGCGTACTTKAAAAGAGAATAATGAGTGYTATGCAASATTGACAGTTCCCCTGRCAACCTCATATCTCCATAGAAACGCTGTATAGTCAACAGCAAAGGCAAMGGATTCACCATGACATGAAAAAAGTCGAGGACRACAAGRTTGATGTACTGTGCAATATAACCTRCAAAGGGACAACTTGGTCAATTGTAATTCGATGAAATAAGGAAATGGATGAAAATTAAATGAATAAGAAGGAAATATGAAATGAAACTATATATAATAGACTAACAAGAAAATAATAAAGTACAGGGCCGGGTTGTTCAAAGCCTGATTAGCGTTAATCCAGGGTTAATTCCATAGGTGTTCTAAGAGTTAACCCAGGATTAGTGCTAATCGGGCTTTAAACAACTCGGTCCAATTATAACATATCACACAGAGACAAGAGAAAATGGCAGATAAAATAATCGCCATTATTATCAGAATAAAATGCCCTCAAACCAGAAAAGAGCAGTTAACATACATACCAAGTTGCGTTGCAGTGCAACCATCTTGTTCTGATGAAACTGATTCAACATGAGCCATCAACGCTCTGACAACTAATGGACTGAAAGCAACCCTACAAAAAAATACAAGACAGTGCTTTTGAATTACAGTAATCTGCAATTTGAGTCTTCTAGGTCCCTCTGTAGTTTTATTTAAGAGAAAACAGGTGAAAGGCTCTCTTTATAAGTAGAGTTTTAAATATACCAACATTGGTTTTTAATCATTTCTCGTAACTAAAAAGGCCAAATAACCTACAATGTTAAACCTACCTTGATGAAGAATCTATACTGTCTTGAAATGGTGTGATTCTATTTGCTATGGAAGCCTGTGATGTCATCTCCATGACGATGTCAGTGTAGGTATAAGGCTCCATAGCAACAGAGAAGAAAATAGAGTCCAAGAACTGAAGCAATGCATCTTGTCCAGGAGCTAAACTCTTGTTGTATAAGTGTTTTAGCCATATCTGTATTTCATGTGAGCTGTCATCGATAATGCCTTCATCAACAAGAAACTGTGTGTTCAAAGGAGGGAAACAAACAGATTAAAATCATTAAAAAAAACTTGGAATTAATGGAATTAAAGGTGCTATGTGGTGCTGTATTATAATCACCTTGGTGATGACATTTTCAGCAGTAGATTTGATGTCAAGTTTTTCACAGGTAATATACATCTTTAGAATAGAGTACATATGAGATGGACCTTGCTTGGACTTCTGAAAAAAAACATTTATCCATATTAATCATATACAGACTTGATATCCTATACCACATTGGCTGTGAGGCAATGGATTGCCTATGGTTTTGCATAGATTGCTTAGACCATTGCAATGCTGGTGTTTGTTCTTTCAAGTGTGTGTCGGACAGCTGCCCTCACTAAGCTAGACTCCACATGCCATTTGCTTGCTCAATCATTGTTCAGATGAATGTGACTATAAAATGTAGATAATTTGCTGTTCCCATCCACCACCCCCTGTATATATACACCTTTACCATAATGGCCGCCATCTAATTAACATAATTTTTTTAAATTTAGAATTTTAGTCAAAGTAAACTAACAGCTGATAGGAACCTGTGCTAATAACAACATGTAAAAGTTTG